CCCAGTCCAGAAGTGCTGGCTGATCCCAGTCCAGAAGTGCTGGCTGAGAAACAGGTTTGGGGTTGGTTTTTGTTGTTGTTATTGTTGTTGTTTGGTTTTTCGAGACAGGGTTTCTCTGTGTAGACCAGGCTGGCCTCGAACTCAGAAATCCACCTGCCTCTGCCTCCCAAGTGCTGGAATTAAAGGCGTGCACCACCGTCCGCAAGAAACAAAAGTTCTTACTGTAGCTGCTTCAGGCTTGCTGAGCAGTTGAACTCCTGGTTGGTATTGTAAATTTCACTTTTAAGGTATCTTAACTGAGAAAAAAATTGATTAAATATTTTTAAGTATTTTCACGATTCTTATTTTTAAAGACCCCATTGTTCCTGAAGACTACCATTGAGACTCTAGGATAATTAATTTTGAGAAACTAATGCCACCTGGGTAGTGGTGATACACACCTAAAGTTTTAGGGTCCTCTGCCTGTGTTTATAAATAGTCCCCTCATTCTACAATTCTCTAAGCAAGTCCACTGAGATTCCAACATGAATTTTATCTCTCATCATTTTTTTCAGAATGTATTATTTCTTTTAGTGTTAAATGTTTTCTTCCGATGCTACCTTCTAGAAAGGAGAAGCCAGGATCTGTCCTCTTTCTTCGAGTGAGGAGCTGGGAAGCCTACAGACTGAGCTCCTGGACAACTATTGTTCATGTGCATGCTTTCCCTTCTCTGGTGAGAAGTGCAGAGGGGAAGTAGAACTTGGTTGGGTCATAACCTTTTAAACTGTCACTCTTCGTAAGTCCCTTATGTGGAAGTGTGGTGAGGGGGCTTTATTGAACACAGAGATAACCTTTCATGGTAGTCAACAGTGATTATTAAGAAAGGGTATATAACCCAAACTTCTCATTAACTAGATGCACAGTTTCCTTTGTGCTTTTCCCAACATTGGCACCAAAAGGCAAATCCAATGTGCTGCTTTTCTGCTTAGAATATTTGGATTTTTCTTACTAGCAGAAGAAAGGTCATTATCAGCAACACAGGCACAGTGTAGCCTCCACCTCTCTTTTATCTCACCCTTAAATCCCTTAAATTCCACTGTGCTGTTCTTCCCTGTCTTAGCTGGACATATGCTTCCTTCCCCACTGTAACTACAAAATCCCTGCCTCAGCTTTCCCTCCTCCACCCGGTCACACCTCCATCCCATTTTTTGTCCTAACTTTTATTTATTCTTCAGGATTTAACCTTGAGATCAATTCCTCAGTGAGCCCTGCCCGTCCCCCAAGCTAACGTAATCTATCACAGCAGCTCATGCAGCTCTGGGACAGTTCTCTGTGTGTAACCAGCCTTGGTCATTTCCAAAGTTCTGTTTATTCATCCAATCATACTTTAATTACTTAGTAAAGCAGATGTGTGTGTGTGTGTGTGTGTGTGTGTGTGTGTGTGTGTGTGCTTAAGCTCCTGCTTAATGAATGTCTTTATTTCCTAAACTAACAGTAATAGTCAGAGCATCAGAATTCTAAAGTATAAGGGGCATAAGATATGGCACCTTCTGGAGGATATAAACTCAGAGTAATGGCTGTGTCAGCTGAGATCGCTGGACACATTAGCCTGCAGCAGAACAGTTTCCAGCAGGTGCTGGTGATCTCTAACAGTTCTACATGGAGTTTGACTTAGCATCTACTTTGCAAATATTTTTCAGTATCAAATTTGCCCTGAGATGGTGGACTTTTAAACTATGCCTGGTTGTGCTGGTGAACTTGATAGCACACAGGCTGTAGCCAGTTGAGGACAATGGCTCAACTGCGTCAGGGTCACTTTCAGTTTCCACTGATGAGTACATCTCTTCCTTTCTCCTTTCCACTTTATTTTGAAATTTAATGTTCTTCCTCCTTATAGGATCTTACTTTTAGATAAAATACTCTGGTGAACATGGAAATTTAAAAACAAACAGTTTTCCTTAAGCTCCCTGTCAGCTTTATTCGAGGTCACATTGCCGGCAGCATCAACATCCCGTTCAGTGCAGCTTTCACAGCAGAAGGAGAGCTCAGCCAGGGCCCTTACACCACCATGCTGCACGGCTTCAAGGGGAAGGTCATTGTGATTGTGGGGCACATGGCTAAGCAAACAGCTGAGGTAAGTGTGCTCAGAGATGTCCTCAACTGTTCCTGCCTACTGTCTACATTGTTGAAAATGTGTGTCTTCAGTCAATCATAGATAAATCTAGCTGTACAGATCTGTCTGTGCTCTTACCTAGAGGAGCTCGCCTCTTACAGAAACCTTCTTCCCCTCCACACACACTTCCTGCCTCCAGTTTTCAGCATCAGGATGTATGACAGTAGGAGACTTAGGAACCCAATGGTACCTGTTAATGTCATTTGTCAAAAGTGTGACGACCTTAGCTGTAAGTTGGGGGGTACTAAAAGGTGGGACCTTTAAGAGGTGGCTCCTATGGGAAATCTTGTGGTTGGTGGAGATTTCCCTTTATAAGGAACTGTGGGACCTAGTGGGAAGACCAGTGGCACTTCTGAAGCCAGGATGTGTTCTACTTCTTCCACATACAGTACTGCCATTGACAGCGGGCACTGACTGTAAGCCTTTGGCCTTCCTGCCTTTGCAACTATGGGCCTCCTTTCTTTATAAAATTAGCTACCTCCATTATTTTGTTATATGAAACATAAATTAATATGACAGCATAGATTTTCAAGGTTTTTTTTTAATTCCTAACTGGTTTTTGAAATTTTAAAAACACAGACAGAACTTCTGTTAGAGCAGCAAGACTGGAGCACAGGCTCTGAAGTTCCCCTGGTGGGGTCTGTTGGGCTTGGGAGACTTGTTTACCCAGAAACTCAAGGGTCAGGTGTCAGTGTCAGACCATGAAACAAGAGTTGAACAGATTAAGAGAGGAACTGAGTATATTCTAAGCAAACTGACAAATAGAAAGTACATGTGATAACCAAAATTGCCACCATTTAAGGGGGAAGTGGGGATGGAACCTGATGTGCTGAAGTAGGCCTCTAAACACAAACACTTGTGAGTCAGAGACAGTTGAGCAAGAACAGCCTGGTCTAAACAGCAAGTAGAGGCTATGTAGAGAGACCCTGTCTCAAAAGAGAGAAAGAGAAAAAGGAAGGGAAGGAAGACAAAGAAAGGAAGGAAGGAAAGACAAGATAGAGATTACAGCATACAAAAGCCAAGCAGGGTTACGAACGACATCCTCAGAGTCCATAGAGATCATAACTGTTGAGCTGATGCAGAACCCATCCCATCCAGGCCTTTCCAGAAGGTGGAGAAGAATCTTTCCTAGGAAAGTAGCAGTTACTAGCTGCTAGGGAAGACAGGCTGAGCTGTCCCAGATTTACCAAACAGACCCCGTGTGCTAGGGCAGAATGAATAAGGAGACCAAGGAAGAGTCAGCAATATCTCTTGGAAAATTAGGAATGGAGGTTAAGGTAGTTCAATCCAATTCCCTTTGTGTCTCTATAAAAGGGACAAACCATATGTATGCTTGCTTGTTTCTTTGTTTGTCTGTTTTTTTAATGTGGGCAACTTGAGAACTCGAAGAATTTTGGTCATAGGCTTTTTTAAGTATCCAAAACTTGGTGGACAAGATGGCTCGGTGGGTAAAGGTACACTCTCCAAGTCTGACAAGGTGAGATCTACATGGTGGGCAAAGGAAAGTGACTTCCACAGGGTGTCCTCTGACTTCCACATGTGTGCCTATGCCTTCTCACCATTATCTTGTCTGCATTGAGGCAGGAAGGCCATCCCCTGGGTGGTGCCACTCCTGGGTTATGTAAGTAGACAAAGGAAGCTGAGCATCCTGAATTCACTGATGTCTTTCCTGACTGCAGACACAATGTCACTAGCTGCTTCCAGCTCCTGCCACCTTGACATGATAGGCTATATATATCCTTGTACTGTGAGTCACAATAAAATCCCTTCTTCATTGCTTTTGTCAAGGTTTTTTTTAATCATAGCAAAAGCAAAAGTAGCTAAGACAAGGTAGAAGTATTCTATCCATCTCAAATGAGAGAAATTTGGATTCAGTTTACCCAATGTGCCTGCCCAGAGCCCCAATCATAACACAAGTTTATCACTCTGAAGTGCCTTTAGCTCAGCTCAAGAGGCTTTTGAGTCTGAATGCTGCCATGTGTCCAGGCTTTAGAACTAGATTATTCTGACTTCATATACAACACAACCATTCATCCAGTGCATGAAACCAAAACCTGAAATAAACTTTACCAGATTATGGTTCCATTTTCATTAAATAGTCACCACTTGAAAGAAAGTTTCTAATAAGAGGTTTAAAAATCTTTAAATTGTCAACTGCTTCCACACATCCTAATCATATTAATCTATGTCATTTATGTAATTTTGCCATACAGACAAAACATATCTGTCAATACATAGATTATTTCTACTAAGACATCAATAATCTATTATGTACAAACCAATAAATCTTACTTCAAAGTACGAAGGAAATATAGAAGAATGAATACTCACATGTAGTATAGGATAGGTAACTAATAAACTCTCTTATTCTAAATTAGCATTTTTATTAAAAGTCAGGTACTACTAATTTCTTTTTACATCCTTTTTGCTGTGTCATTTATAGAAAATAATGATTAAACAAATTATATGCACAGCTACTAATGATTCAATCCAGTAACCAGTAGCTTATTTGTGATAGTTTTAAACTGGGATAAAGATCTATCTTTAACAATGTTTTTCATCAAAGGTCAAAGACAACTTCAGATACTTATTTGTACTGTTTCATATTTTCCTCTGCTACCCAGATCTATGCAGCATTATAGGTGCTTCCCTCATAGCCACTGAATTAAATCCATGTCAGTTTGAAGCATTGGAATTTCACTGTGTCTGTGTTTGCACTGAATATCTTCTCACTCCAGTGCCCATTGCAGGTCCGTTCTCTGCCCTTCCCACTTCTTTCCAGCCTATAAAGGAAAATGCCTATGGGTTCTAACTCCTAGTTGTTCATCCAGTGAGAAGCTCTGAGAAGTTATGAGTTAAAGAGCAGGATATTTGTCCTCCTAGCTCTTTCTGAGGAAGCCTTAGGTTAGCTATGTCACTCTACTTAAAATAGTAATTTTCTCCTAGAAGGCTTCTCACCATGATTCTCATATGAGCTCCTAGGTTCTTTGTCTCCAGGAGTGGTAACAAATTTTCTCTGCCAGCCTTGGTTAGCACTGCCGATGACAGTTCTCCTATATCCCCCTATTTTTTTTTAAATAATTTATTTATTTTTTCTCAAATCGTAATTCGTTCACACAGGGGTTATAAACACAGAAAGGCAGGATGTGGGGAAGGGGATGACACTGGAATGTGGGTGTTCAGGGGGAATACAGATATCTTTCAGAACCGGGTATCGGCTGGGTGAAGGTTCAGGGGACAAGTCACTATGACTCTGCCTATGACTCACTTGTCCTTATCTAAGTTGGTATTACCTGCCAAGGCTACCTATTTACAAGGTCTATGACTACTCAGGCTGGTAAATTTCCACAAAAGCTGCCTGTTTACAATAGCTTATAGCCATCTGTTTCAATGTTTTTCCACAGAGACCCAAGACTTGGTGTTAGTATACATGTATGACAGGCCTATTGCTGATTTTAGGCCTATGGCTGATTTTAGGCCTTCAGTGTGTAAGCAGGGCTGCCCCTGACATCTCCTCCCTTCTCTAAGTATAGAAGGGCTGTAGCAATTCTAATCTTGCGAAGGCGGAGATAGAGGCCTGACCTCCAGTACTTGCCTACTTCCTCCCATCTTGGGACCATTATTTGGGTTATTTTTGCTTATTTCTGCTGATCCCTGGGCCTCAAATAGGCTAACTCTGTGCAACAACAGATAAATAATTTGGTAGCAAAACCTACTCAGATATATTATCATAAGTTAGCTATGGAGGACCAGGAGACTCAAGATGAAGTTGTTACTCTATCCAGGGTGTTCCCAAAACCCGTCTCCACCCAACCTAAAAGAGGGGACTTCCGCCCCTAGACCAAGCAGAGAGGGGCCACCCAGAACCCCCTCTGACTGGCGATCTGAATTCTTGCTTAGGCTGCGAGGCTAAGCACTGCAAGGGAATATAAATAAAAGTTAAAAATATCTATCTGGGTTCCCTGAGGGACAAGCCTGACTGCATAGGGGTTGATGTCAAAAGTATCCCCTCTCCAGGAAAAAGACATCGGGATGGGTATGGTCCTCATGCCTCACTGAACAATGACAGGGGGACCGGAGCCATATCCCCCTATTCTTCTCTAATTATCTCTACCTCAGTTTATGCTGAGGTCATGTTAGAACCCAAGCTGTCATGGGACAGTATTTAAAATAGTGAATTTTTAAGCCTAGCTTTAATGTTATAGTGACTTTCTTACTAGCTGTGTTCATTTGGATAAGTATTTACCTCTTTAAATCACCATTTGTTCAATTACAAAGTGAATATAGCAGTTTCAACCTCAGCATTAATGTAAAGTTTTATACGAGAGAAGTAAAGTTCTTGAGGAACCTAGTAACATTTATATGCTAGTCTTTAGAAGATCTCGAGTTAGAGTTCAGGATCAGAACAACAGAACAGGTACTGACTAGCCCGGCCCTGCCCAGCTTCAGAGCTCAGACAATGCTCTGTGCTCAAGCTGGTGTGGCCAGAGACTGCTAAGGCAACCATTCCCACACAGATCAGTCTGAAGAAACAAGCACGGCTATTGGATCATAAAGAAGTCAACTAAAAACAAAACGATAAGCTTATGTGTGTATGTATGGTCCCCAGTATCAGAGCACAAAACAATTTAAAGAAATAAACAGTGGAATTAAATTATACCCTAGGCCAAATGGACTTAAGAGTTCTGTGGAACAGTTCATCAAACAGCTGCCCAAAAAACATTCCTCTCACCCCAACATAGAGCATTCTTCAACATAGAGAATGTTATAAGCAACAAATTATTCTCAACAAAATTTTAAAAACTGAAATATTCCATTTTTCTTAAGTTCAAAAAACTAAAAATCAATGCTAGAAAAAAAGCCTTATAAACTACAAATGCCTATGAGTTAACTTATTTTTAAATCAATGGATTAATGAAGTTAAGAAAGCTTTAAATTCTTTAAATAAATGAACATGGAAA